TATATAGAATATATATACACATATATATACACAAGTGGCCCTTTGTTGCTTGGTGTGCGGACCTCAGATCCAGCAGTCTGTAGCTGCAGCATTGATTTGTGAAGGGGTATAGCAGTGATCTCCACTAACCTCGTATAACATGTCTCTAGTCTCCAATTGTCTTTTGCAGCATGTCTCCTTTCTTTAACTAAATGTGAATCATGTCTACAGTCTCTGACCATCATTTGCTATAGTGTCTGTAGTCTCTGACATCCCTCTCCTGCATTACAAATACTAAACATTATGTGTGGCTCTCTGGAGCTTGGTTTACAGCTCTCAGACCGCAGCAGTCTGTAGTGGGAGTAGAAAGCACTGATTTGTGAATGGTCTATGTATTACGTTCACAGTCTTCTCTTGCGTTACATATACTGACAATTATGTGCAGCCCTTGGGTGATGGCAGGGGCCCCAGTTGATAACCAACAACTTTTAGACAAAAACATGATCTGCTTTTTTTTTTCTGTAACCAGGGAAATAATCTGCCCTGAGTGCTGCAAGTAACATATGGGCTTGTGTGAGGAAGGTAAATCATCAGAGCAGGTTCATAAAGTGCTATTCATCAAGGCATCGATCTCACACTTTGGAGTGCAGCACATTGCAGAAGATGAGTTCTGCAGGCCTGGAAAATGGTTCAAAAGAATCCCCACTACAAAGAATATGAAGATTTTAATAAACCCTTAGTGGAATGAAACACAGACACAGCTGAACACTGGAAGATATTAGCTCACAACAGCACCTCGCACAAGCGGCTCAAAGGACATCTGTTTGGAACATGTGTATGTCGTGTCTGCTATGCATGACCCGCCATTCTGAGGTGAACAACATTAAACCCACATATAGAAAGAGCCATGCTATCCAGATAAAAGGGGAGAAATGCACTAAACATAGTCATCTACTTCCACCCAGTGGTGAAATGTGCACCATGCAACCTTTTACAATATAGCAATACGCACAGAGAGGAATCCAGCTGACGCCAAGTGGTAGATATTCAAACCCTTAATCAATAAAAAATATGAAATAATACAAGGAATACTAGTTCAAACGCACAACAGTTAAAGCTGAACTATCGCTTCTCTAAAAGCTACTCGATGATGAATACATTACTTAAAGTGACATTAAAGTCAAAAATGTTTTTTCCCTCCCCCCAATGTTAAGTAAAACACTTATCTTAAATGATGTCTCTTAAGGTGCGCATACACTGCACAATTATCGTACGATAATCGCGGAAAATCCGCCGATCGTACGATAATCGTGCAGTGTATGGAAGGCGTGCGACCGTTTCTACTGTACGGCCGCACGACTTTTGTATTTCGAGCATGTTCGAAAATCAGCCGAGAATCGTACGATTTTCAGCTGGTTTGAATCATGATCGTGAGATGACTGCCGCATGGGCTGGTGTGCGCAAGCGCACACTGCCAGTTCAGCATTGCGGTCATCGGAAGCCCGCCCCTCAGCGGGCGGGCTTGCGATTATCGCAAGTACGATCTGCCTGTCCAAGATGGGCAGATCGTACGTTTTTTAAAATTACTTTACAACCTTTGCAAGACAAGAGACAAGAGTCTTGCGAGGACTGTAAAGTGTATGGCCAGCTTAAATCCGATCTTCTTTCCTGTCGTTTTCAGCCTTCTCTCCAGCGCTGCTGCGGGTCTCCGATCCAGCGCTGACTTCTCTGTCCTCGGCGGCGCTTCCTGTCCCACGGTGTCTGCATGCGGGTGCACGCGTCCATAGCCTTACCTTGCGTCTCTCCTCGTCTCCTGGCTGAAAATCCAAACTGCGCATGCGCCCCCACCCCCAAGATGCTTTGCGACCGCCAGAGCAGTTTCGGATTTTCGGAGGGGAGCGTGCGGCGAAGACAGCGGTAAGTTTAAACCGCTTTTAAAGCAGTTTTTTTTTTCCCCCTTTTACTTTTTTTGCATATATCTACTGCTTACAAGCAGTAGATATATGCAAAACAACCAGAGAGTTTAGAAACCCTTTAAGAGTTAGCCATCATTTTCAGAGAGACAGCTCTGTCCAACACACTGAATTGCAAGGACATGAGCAGACAGTGGAGATAAAATGAGGTGACGCACCGTCTGCCTCTTCATTATTGGAAGACATATATCTGATTAGAGAGGACGGTTGTCTTTATTTAGTGCTTGAGTAAGTGCTAGGTCAGATTTAAACAAGTTCACTGACCCTTCTAATGAGACTGTCTAGATCACATGAAACCACAGACACTTTACTTTTCCACATTATAGCACGATTTCATGTTTTAAATGAACGCAGAAATACGAAACACTGGAAGTGATTCATTAAGCTGCGATATTAAATAACTATAAACAGCATAGATAGTCATCCCGTCCCTCAACAAAAAAAGAAATGGGCTATAAAGTCCTCTACTGTACTCCATGAAAAGGATTTTACTGGCAAGTCAAATATCCTGTTATGTATGTGGACAAAGGGGGTTCCCGTGGATAAACATGCATTCTATTGATTGTATGTGTGATATTCAAATCTGGATTAACCTCTTGTGACACAGCTTCAGAAAATGTTTGCGTTCCTGGGGACTGGAGCGAGCAATTTTGACATTTTTGCTATGTGTTTCTTTAACCAGAATTTTCATGTTCCTCATTTATTGCACCTACACATGTTATATACTGTTTTTAAAGGACAAAATGGGCTTTAATATGATGTGACATATGCATATAGACATTATATATATAACTGCTATCTTTAATAGCCTCCTTGGCACTATATATAGTTTTTAAAAACTTTTATTTCTTTTAAAACTAGGTGGCACTAAAGAGTACATTTATTAATCCCAGGGGCTTTGGACACTTAGGGGGTTATTCACGAAGGATATAGCCGCAGCTTCGGCTAATCCTTTAGCTCACTTCAGCCGTCGGAGCCTTTCGGTT